ACACAGTGTGGCTCTAATTCCTCACTTCACCATCTGTGTCGCAGCTTCACGTCTCAAAATGAGCGTACGCATGGGTCAGAGCTGGCGTGAGGCACCGCACATTTTCACGTCAAGTTTGGATTTTATAAATCACAACCTTGGCGTAAAAAGTGGCGTACGCAAGTTTCTGGGCTCAAATTGTGCGTACGCCAGTTTTATAAATCCGACCCCTGATAAGGACTGATTCTCTTTGTCATAAAAAAAAGGCTAGGTTTATTTATTTATTCATTTTAGAGTTTTTTTTAACAGCAGCTGATGATTAAACTGAAAGTTACCTTGACAAGATTATGTGAGTCCTTTTACTGAGAAATTGATCAGAAACGCTGTGAAAATGGTCGGATCGGCCTCTCTGGCTGCAGTGTGCCCTCCAGACACAGGGGGAACAGATTTTCACAGGGGAACTGAATTTCGCACAACACCCCCTAAGCTTGAGGCGCTAAGATGCATGCCTGCCTGCCTTCCGTAACGTGACAGCTGACTACAGTCAAAAAAAGAGCGCCCCGGACGAGACACTTCAATTTGACTTAAAATACAGACATTCTGACTAATAAGGGAACCTCAGCTTAGTAGGCAGAGTGTCGGTCTTTTCTGCTCGGATTCAGCTATCGGTGCATGATGCTAATGTTTTCTCATGACGCTAATGCTACCGTTACTCTCTGGCTCCTTAGGAGTAGAGGAGCCAAATGGCTGCCTCACTGCTGCCAACTAGCGGTCAGAGGCCGAACTACAACATAAAAATGAACCGTTGGCAGGAAAGTTGACATTTTTAACCATAATTAAAAATCGATACAGGGCTTTAGAAAATCGATACAGTATCGGGAAATGAAATATCGATATATATTGTTGTATCGATATTTTCCTACACCCCTATTTACAATAGACTTAAAAAATATTGCCCTCACAGTTACGGTTCGAATTTTTATTCAGCTGGGGTAAAAGGCGTTTAAAAACAGAAACTCATAACTGTCTGTATACAACATTTATAGGTTAAACTGTACATCTGACTTAATCAGTTTAATTAATCCTCTCCAAGTGACAATCCAGAATCATCTACAAAGTTAAATTTACCCCAAACTTCATGCGTGGCCTAACACAATTGCCTCCAATATCACATGTCTGATCATTTCCCCCCAATTATAATCACCCTTAACTTTATTATATTTTAATGATACCCACAGGAGATTCAAAGTCTAAAAATATTAAGAGTTTCTTTGTTTGGAAAATATTCATTCAACCGTCCTAACATGGACTTTCCCTCACTCATTGTCCTCAGTTTTAACTAGACTAAAGGTCCCAAATGCAAAGGGAAGACATTCAGGAAATCAGATGCAGACTTAATCACATTATGATGTGAAAGAAATGTAATTCATATACGGACCTAATCGTTATACAAAACGTTACTTAAAATATAAAGCTGTTATCTGAACCTTCAACCAGTTGGTAGTAGTGGTGGTGGTGGTGGTGTGTGTGTATGTGTGTGTGTGTGTGTGTGTGGGGGGGGGGGGGGGGTAAATTCTGTCTGATTGACACCCTTCTGTTTGCTGCTTTCCTGCCATGACTCTGCAGTGGGCCGTCACATCCTCACTGACGTCTACAGGATGTGATGAGGCAAGTTTGTCGGGAAATTGTGAGTGTTTTATTTGGGTGTGTGTGTGTGTGTTGGGTATGAATGGAATTTTAACTGTTTTGTCATTATAGTGCTGGAGATCAATGTCATTTCATATCTTGACTCTGTTTTTGACCTCCATCCATCCATTTTCTTTACTCGCTTTTTAGATTTCGGGTCGTGGGGGAGCTGGTGTGTGTCTCCATCAGTCACTGTGGGAGTGGTGGGGTACAACCTGGACACAAGTCTGTTACAGGGCCATTCAGAGACAAATGAGACCAAAACCCATCCACACCGACTCACCTAACATGCATGTTTTGATCTGTGGGCCTGGAGATAACCCCTGCATTGGGGGGGTGGGGGGGGTATGCACCCTCAATTAAGAAAGGCACCAAGCTGGCAGATGATCCTACAACTTACTCTCTGTGAGATAAAAGCTTTAACCACTGTCATCATATCCCCCGTGGTATTGACCCATAAATCTGATTTAGGATGCGTTTCAAACGTTTTTGTCTTTGTCACGTGTGAATAAGTACGTCAGCTTTCACTGAATTCTGAAGAATTTGACTCTTTGACAAGACTGTATGTCTGTCATCATTAGTTCAGCTATGACTACTACACTTCCTGTTCCTCCTCCCCGTTTACTGGCTGTGCTTCAGTTTTATCATCAGAGCAACAGAAATGATTGTTGCGTTGATCTGATGGGTTTTTGTGGAAATTTCAGCAGAAAAGTTGACGCTAGAGCCACCAGCTGTTTGATAAAATGCTTCCTGTTTAGGGAAGTGGGTTAAGTAAAGATCTGGTTGATGTTACAAGTTAAAATCCTGCAAAACATTTCTTTCTTTCTTTCTTTCTTTCTTTCTTTCTTTCTTTC